TTATCTATACAACAGAATAACAATTCACAATGACTCGATGGCTTGATTTACTTTGGCAGGCAAGACAAACAGCAATACCATTCTACTAAGTTGTAAATTCAATATACATATATATATATGGCACGCCTGAACCACTTTTATTAATTAATCTTAGATTATCTCAGATAAACCGGGATTATCTGAGATAGTCCCGGTTTATCTCAGATAAACTAAGATTATCTCAGCTTAATTCAAATTCGAGAAAATCCTAGTTTTTCTCAGAAAATACAGAAAATTCATTTTCTGGAGAAATTTCCGGTTTATCTCAAAATATTAAGAAAATCTAGGTTTTTCTGATCGATTTTCAGATAATCCTAATTTATCTCAAGATAGTTAATTTTCTCAATTTCAGATAATGAATTATCTCATTTCTCGAGAAAATCTAGGTTTATCTCGGATTCTAAATATACAAAAGAACAATGTAACGAGTGTTTTAATTGGACGACAATCCGGCGTTTAACGTTTTACTTTCTCTTTGAAACCATGATGGTGACGAATTCACTTCCTATTATTGGGTGAACGGGGATGTGCAAAGATATGGGTCATCATTTTGCGAGATTTTATATAAAAATTAGCGTCCTTTTTCATTTATCACTACTCGTGGTGTGAACATCACCGTTATTGACACCTGGACAAGCGAAATTTGTTGAATCAATTATAAAAACAAGTAATATACAGAAGGGCTGATTATATACAATATACATATACTTTGTACATACATAATAAACAAATTTGGTAGCTATTTCTTTTACACAAACTGACTGTTTATTACCGACGGCTAATTTCGACATCGATAATCATTGAATTCTCATATTTTAATTCATTCAGTCGGTTTAAATTTTTTAATCGTGACAAAGTTTTGTAAAATAATTAATATTTAAATCGCCACTCTGTTAATCTACCACCACTCTGTATATCTATCACCACTCTGTATATCTATCACCACTTCGTATATCTATCCTTACTTTGTATATCTACCACCACTTTGTATATCTGTCCCCACACTGTATATCTACCAACATTCTGTATATCTATCACCACTCTGTATATCTATCACCACTTTGTATATCTATCACCACTTTGTATATCTATCACCACTCTGTATATCTATCACCACTCTGCATATCTATCTTCACTCTGTATATCTATCACCACTTTGTATATCTATCACCACTCTGTATATCTACCACCACTCTGTATATATATCAACACTCTGTATATCTACTACCACTCTGTATATCTATCACCATTCTGTATATCTATCACCACTTTGTTAACATATCACCATTCTGTATATCTATCACCACTATGTATATCTATCACCACTCTGTATATCTATCACCACTCTGTATATCTACCACCACTCTGCATATCTATCTCCACTTTTTATATCTATTACCACTTTGTATATCTATCACCACTCTGTATATCTACTATCCCTCTTTATATCTACCACCACTCTGTGTATCTACCACCACTCTGCATATCTCTCACCACGTTATATATCTCCACTCTGTATATCTATCACCACTCTGTATATCTATCACTACTCTGTATATCTATCACCCCTCTGTATATCTACCACCACTCTGTATATCTACCACCACTCTGCATATCTATCACAATTTTATATATCTATCACCACTTTGTTTATCTATCACCACTCTGTATATGTACCACCACTCTGTATATCTATCACCACTCTGTATATCTATCACTACTCTGTATATCTACCACTACTCTGCATATCTATCACCACTCTGTATATCTATCACTACTCTATATATATATCACCACTCTGTATATCTTTCAACACTCTGTATATCTACCACCACTCTGTATATCTACCACCACTCTGTATATCTAACACCAATTTATATATATATCACCATTTTGTATATCTATCACCACTCTGTATATCTACCACCACTCTGTATATCTACCCCCACTCTATATCTATCACCACTCTGTATATCTATCACCACTGTGTATATATATCACAACTCTGTATATCTATTCCCATCCTGTATATCTACCACCACTCTGTATATATATATCACCACTCTGTATATCTTTCACCATTCTGGATATATATCCCCACGCTGTAAATCTATCACCACTCTGTATATCTACCTCCACTCTGCATATCTACCACCACTCTGCATATCTATCTCTACTCTGTATATCTATCACCATTTTGTATATATACCACCACTCTGCGTTTCTATCACAACTTTATATATCTATTACCACTGTGTATATATATCACAACTCTGTATATCTATCCCTATCCTGTATATCTACCACCACTCTGTATATATATCCCCACGCTGTAAATCTATCACCACTCTGTACATCTATCTCCACTCTGCATATCTACCACCACTCTGCATATCTATCTCTACTCTGTATATCTACCACCACTCTGCATTACACACATATCTATCTCCACTCATTCATCGAGTACCATCTATGATTATTACTTAATAAAGAGTATTTTACTGTTTTATTAATATTTCTATATTATTTTCTATTTTTCTGCCATTTTTTGTTCCATGGTCTATTGCACTGGAAATTATCGTTCACGCGGTACTATATAGAACATTCAACAAGTACCTACTATACCAATAGGAAAAAAAGAAAGATGGCGCCCATGAAGGTTTGATGTGAATTTGTTGCAGAAAATTTTGTGTTTTTATGCATTAAGAGATATTCTTTACGTCTTTTCTGTTACATCGATGTTACTACTAATTGATTGGAATTGATATATTAAAAAAAAAACCAGAACTTTAATTATAAAGATTGCAGTTTAAATTGCGAGTTATAAAACTGACAACCGAGTGAGTAGTAATTAGCCAATGTTTACATATAGATGTACACATAAAGTGAACTTTCAATATCGCAGACATAGTTTAAATCGCCTCATAAAATATGTCTCAACAACAACAACAAATAACCAGTTTTATTTCTACTGCTAAAGTCGATAAACTGTCAGCCAAAAACACAAATAATGCCGAGGAATCAACATTTACAGAAAAAACTGGAGATAAACAAAATATCACAAATCCAGCCAAACGTCTCCACTCTTGTCTCTCCAGTTCCTCGGACCATAGTTTTTGTATAGAAAACGAACTTGACGAAATCAAGCAGTCCCTGAAAAATGTACCGAAAAAATCAGACCTAACAGAAATTGTCACCGAGATATTTAAACAATAATCCGAAAACCTAAAAAAAACAAATTAAAAAAGAGATAATGTCGGAAGTAAAGTCAGAAGTCGATAAACTAAAAACCAATTACGATTCCAAAATATCTCATCTTCATGACAAATTAAACACTATAGAGTTTGAAAATGGGAATCTCCTAGAAAAAAATGCTAGTCTGCATTCTGATCTTAGAAAAATGAGAGATCTAGTTGATGAAAACAACAAGAAAACCACTGAAAGTGTTCGGCTTGGTAACTGGAACGAACAATACTCACGTAAGAAAAATGTGAAAATATACCAATTACCAGAAAATCGAAATGAAGACCTACCACATTCTCTCCTTAACGAACTAAAGAACAAAGTCAAATTAGACATCAACCCGTCTGAAATTGTTGCAATGCATAGAATACCAGGGAAAGAAGGGATTCCAAGGCCAATTCTCATAAAATTTCTCAGAATGGATACCAAAATTACACTTCTGCGTAAAAAGAAGAGTATAAACGAAGCACTCAAAGTTAGAATTGGTGATGATATTACAAAACTCAACCAGGGTCTCCTAAATAGACTGTACCAACATGACAATATTGTAAGCTCGTGGTATTTTAATGGTCATGTATATGGATCAGACGAGGAAGGAACTAGACATCGGTTCGAAATATTTGACGACATAGCCAAAAAACTGAAAAAATAAAATGTGTGTAAATCACTTTGAACAATAACATGCTTTCCATATTTGTTTGATATTGTCAAGTACCATTTGTACTTTTATATAATTCCTGTTCATTTATCATTATTTATTGTCTACAACACAAATTTGAACCTTGGATTGATATTTGTCTCTTTGTCTCTCATACCACTCAACTATTTTTATTTTGTAATATTTTCCGGAAAATATACGTTTCCTACGTATTTGGTTTAATTATAGAAATACTCATATTTCCGGTTTGCTTGCAGATTGTAGGGGTAAATTCAGTAAAAAATCTCCCATTAACTTCAATGTTAACCTACATGTTCAATTAAATTTATAACTTTTTTACCTTTAGAAATTAGAAGCTTTCATATTTCATTCATTAAAGTACAAATGTAGCCCCATCTTTTGCAACCATCAAAACATAGGGTCATGCGGCAATTTTGGGCCGTCCACATGGCTTTGTTTACAAACACTGTAGTTTCGCACTTAATTCCTACAATGACCCCATCACTTTTCAATCCTGTTTTAAAAAAAATTAAATGCATTCAGCATTATTTAATTATTTTTTTTAACCTTAGTTTTGATCCATCTAATCAAAAAAAAAATATTGAAAACTTTATCTACCAATCATTGCAGCACAGGTCTTCAATTTTATACTGAAAGCTCTCCCCCAAATGGGCGGTCCCTGATGACGTATATTTATTTACTGAATTTACCCCTATAAGAGACAATTCTTCCTCAAATCATACTTTTCTTGTATTAATTATGTAATTTAGCCTATTTTAAAGTTCAAGATTCAATACAAGATCTGTAAAGGCTTAATTGTCAAAGTTTAAGGAAAATTTGTACTATAGCCCATATTGCGGCCAATGTATATATTTTGTACATAAAGTTGTATATTGAATGTTGTATAAAAAATGATGTAAAATATATTGTTTAATAAATATGAACTTTTTTTTGTGTTTGTTTGAACATATATTGCCAGTTAATCTTAGAAACATAAGTCATGTTATATTCTGAGATCAATGTCTCCATATATGGAAGTTTTAATAAGTATACCCTGAAAATACCACAAAAAGTTGTTTCAAAGGCTTTTAAATGAGTGTCATACAAAAAAAAATCAACAATAATATTTCCCTACACTAAATCTGTGTTTTAATATCTTGTATAGATCATTTTAAGTGCACACAGATAACTATAGGGTCATTTACTATCAAAGATGAGAATGTCTTATCATACTGGTAGAGTCAGAGAAAAAACAGACTTTTCTTCAACTGTCAACCATAAAAATGATATCTTAGCAATAAAATTTGTCCTGTTTCTGCACTTTCCTTTTTCTTACTTTTGTTTAATGAAATCAGAGAGTGACAAATATTGTTATAAGAATAATTATTTCATCAAAAAAAATACTAAAAAATGGGACGTTATGCTGTGCACTTAAAAAAACACAGATTTAAGAAGGGAAATATTCCACATAACAGAGGACTTAAATTGGAAAATGTTAAAATACCTGTATTCCCTGTGGTTAAATTTGAAAGACTATCCAAGGATGACTTTGATCTTGTGACAAAACCTGTAAATATCAAACACTCTGCTGAAATTCCTATGCACTCAACATCAGGGCGGCTTCTGCGTCCAAAACAGGCAGCCAAGACTGAAGTAGAAAAATGTGCAGAGAATGAAAATAAGACTGGGTAAGATCATACTTTGCATTACAATTGATAAAGCAACTATTTACAGTATTTAATAGAGAATTTTAAGCATCACATTAGAAAAACAAACATTTTATCAACAGTTTATAGATGAAGGGTATCTAATACTGAAAAGTTATACAGAATATTTTTGAATTGAAGAAACGCATTGAATGATGAAATAAATATATTATTTCTACATACCAAATAATTATTCGAATGCTAAAATACTTGAAAATTGCTTATTTACAACAATATCTGCATCACAGCCTTAAAAACACTGCTCTGAAAAATACAGTCTCAAAGGGAGATAATTCTAATTTTATACATGATACTACATAATATAAAAAAGATAAATAAGCAACATTTGCTACACAGTGATGTAAGATAGGGAGTTAATTAAAGTCTTTCATTAATTTTTTACCTCCAGATCTGAAAAATACACCAACAGAACAGTAACAATAAGCAAAAACACAGAAATGTGGAATGAGGTGTTCAGAGAGCATCAGAATGTATCCCCACATTGTAATGGCATCCTTGAATGGGACTTGTCAATGGAAGAGAAGTGGGGATCAGCTTGGAAAGAGTGCGCAAAATGTACAAAATGCACATACAGATCTAAAATGTTTAACTTGTACGAAGAGGTTGCAAGTATAAATAGAGGACGACGCGCAGCAAAAATAAATCTTGGTTTACAAGTTGGTCTACATCATACTCCCATTCGTACAGCAAGTTACCGTAAAATCTGTATGGCCTCAAATATTCCTCCTCCATCTGTCTCTGGTATGCAACACACTGCTAATGCAATATCTGAAAAGATAGAAGAAAAAAATAAGAGAGATTTACAACGACAAAGGGAGAAAATTAAAAGGATAAAAAAGATACGCGGGGAAAATCCTGATGTTGTTAATATTCAATCTGACTGCGTATACAATAATGCTATTTATTCTGGCATTGGGAAGACCCCTTTTCAACCAGCAACCCAGTGTGCTTACACAGTAGCTGAAAATGAAACATATAAACATAGCATTATAAACACATTACCAAAGTCTAAGCTCTGTTCGAAGAGAAAGCATACAGTTAGTACGAATGTCGGTGAACATGCTGGTCCGTGCACGGCAAATATTAACATGCAAGACAGTATAGGTAATGAAGAGCGGTGGGCAAGAGAGTGTTTTGAGGAACTAAAAGAGGATGGATTAGAAGTTAATGAAGTAACAACAGACCCAGACAGCAGTGCATACAGAGCAGCAGAGAGTTTATTTCAGGAAGGACTAACTACAACAACCCCCATCCATTTTCTTGACACCAGACATGTAGCATCTAACCATAGAAAATTTGTAAATAATCTATCCACAGTTTGTGACATTATGCCCGCTCGGTTAAAGGTGCAAAGAACCCGGCTACAAAGTTTGTTTGCTTCTGACATGGCAGCCCGTTGTCAGGCAGAATTCGTACAGGCTAATATTAGATATCACAAATCCCCTGATGTTATGAAATCAAAACTTTCATATGTTTCAGATGCCATAGTGGGCTGTTACTGTGGAGATCACACAGATTGTTCCCTATATTCATTTGTTTGTTCTATATCTAGAAAATGTCAATCATGGATTGACAAAAGTGCATATTTAAAGAGGCATAATTTTGAAATTGAGCTAAATGAGAACAGTGAAAATATTCTGCGACAATGTGTCAATTACCGTCTGGGTCCAGGCATGCTTGCTAAAACAGCTAAAAGTGCAAATACACAAAAAGTTGAAGCCCTAAATCGATCCATACGTAGCACTGTACCAGTTAATGTTACCTATGCTAGAAACTTTACAGGCCGGGTACATACGGCATGTCACAAAGTCAATCATGGTAAAGGCAATTCTATCGTCATCTTGTGCGAGGCGGCTGGAAGTCCAATACAACCAGGTACAAAAGTGGCAAAATCTCTAAAAAAATTAGAAGACCATAGTGATCAAATGAGAAATTGTAAATACTCAGAAAACAGTATCAATCATAGAAATGCACGAAAGCATTCTCTGTACGATATACATGCACGGCATCAGGAGGAAAAAGATTATACAAAAAATAAACTTTTACCGGTCACTAAAAACAGTCCTATGTACCCCAAAGACCACTCATATGGCAGACTCCGCAAGTCTACCAGGCTTTCAAATAAATAATATTCACCTTAATTTATAATAAACAATGTGGATGGTGATCCTTTGTACATAAATTTCTCATTCTACACCCCATTCTATCCATATTGAGAGAGTGTGGCTCAAGAATTAAATGTTCCGGCTTCAGACAGATGGGGTTATGGCATATGTGCGAGACATCTAACCGCTCCCCCTGTAAATTTTTATTTGGAATTTCATCCCTCAAAATATGATGTGCATGCATGTAGGACAGCCTGTGAACCCTTTCTATTTTTTTCTTTCCATCAGGCCACACAACTGACTTCTTCCCATAGACCCCATGCTCTCTACCACCAGTCCACTCAGTACACCCATGCCGACCGCAATTAAAAATAGACTTTTGCAATAAAGATAGTGCTATTTGATTCCAAAAGGCTTCCATTGCATTAATAGTTACCAGAAAAGAACTTTGGGGTTCTCAGGTGGCCTTGAAAATGTACAGTGACAGAGTGCAAATTCTCCCTATAGGGGTAAATTCAGTAAAAAATCTCCCATTAACTTCAATGTTAACCTACATGTTCAATTAAATTTATAACTTTTTTACCTTTAGAAATTAGAAGCTTTCATATTTCATTCATTAAAGTACAAATGTAGCCCCATCTTTTGCAACCATCAAAACATAGGGTCATGCGGCATTTTTGGGCCGTCCACATGGCTTTGTTTACAAACACTGTAGTTTCGCACTTAATTCCTACAATGACCCCATCACTTTTCAATCCTGTTTTAAAAAAAATTAAATGCATTCAGCATTATTTAATTATTTTTTTTAACCTTAGTTTTGATCCATCTAATCAAAAAAAAAATATTGAAAACTTTATCTACCAATCATTGCAGCACAGGTCTTCAATTTTATACTGAAAGCTCTCCCCCAAATGTGCGGTCCCTCATGACGTATATTTATTTACTGAATTTACCCCTGTAAACATACACATTTTATTATTTACATCCATTGGTAATTCGTTTTTACACATGCTATTTACACACAAACAACTGACAAATGGTTGCACTATTAAAGGATGTCACATACATCTATCTTCCTAAATATAGTAGTACCAGAATCTAAAAAATAGACAATCTAAATGTGTTTCTCACTTCTGCACTCGTAAATTGAAACTTAAGTCAAGTTTACAAACTTCTGTCAAGCATATTCTATAGATTAGTCTTGTCAATTTCACTGACCATTATTCAATTTTTGTCTGAAATTCAGGCTAAGTGTTATCCTTCTTTTGCTTATTTATTTTGCTTTTGTTTTGTTTTGTTTTCTACATTTTACATTACAATTACTACTACACATCTTTGTAAGTCTAAAACAAAGATTATTGCATGAACACAGACCTTGCTCATTTTTTTTTTCAATAGTATTACAGTATCACAAGATAAGTGATAATTGACATCGTTAACATCTGTTATTTATCAATGTTTTCTGCATATATATCTCCACTCTGTATATCTATCACCACTTTGTATATCTATCACCATTCTGTATATCTACCATCCCTCTTTATATCTACCACCACTCTGTATATCTACCACCACTCTGCATATCTCTCACCACGTTATATATCTCCACTCTGTACATCTATCACCACTCTGTATATCTATCACTACTCTGTATATCTATCACCCCTCGGTATATCTACCACCACTCTGTATATCTACCACCACTCTGCATATCTATCACAACTTTATATATCTATCACCACTTTGTTTATCTATCACCACTCTGTATATCTACCAACACTATGTATATCTATCACCACTCTGTATATCTATCACCACTCTGTTTATCTACCACTACTCTGCATATCTATCACCACTCTGTATATCTACCACCACTCTGTATATCTTTCAACACTCTGTGTATCTATCACCACTCTGTATATCTACCACCACTCTGCATATCTATCACCAATTTATATATCTATCACCATTTTGTATATCTATCACCACTCTGTATATATACCTCCACTCTGCATATCTACCACCACTCTGCATATCTATCTCTACTCTGTTTATATAACTTTATATATCTATTACCACTGTGTATATACATCACAACTCTGTATATCTATCCCCATCCTGTATATCTACCACCACTCTGTATATACACCACCACTCTGTATATATATCCCCACGCTGTAAATCTATCACCACTCTGTATATCTATCTCCACTCTGGATATCTACCACCACTCTGCATATCTATCACTACTCTGTATATCTACCACCACTCTGCATTACATACATATCTATCTCCACTCATTTATCGAATACCATCTATGACTATAGGACATTAAACAAATACCTGCTATAGCTTTGGGAAATTCACCAAGGAACTGCTATAACTATAGGACATTCAACAAGTTCCTAGTATAACAATAGGAATTCAACACTTACCTGTTATATACTACTTTATAGAATATTCAACAAGTACCTACTATACCAATAGGATATTCAACAAGTACCTGCTTTAGATATAGGACATTCAACCTGTGTTTGCCATCACTATAAGACATTCAACAAGTTCCTACTATGACTATTACTACTCTGTATATCTATCACCCCTTTGTATATCTACCACCACTCTGTATATTTACCACCACTCTGCATATCTATCACAACTTTATATATCTATCACCACTTTGTTTATCTATCACCACTCGGTATATCTATCATCACTCTGTATATCTATCACCACTCTGTATATCTATCACCACTCTGTATATCTACCACCACTCTGTATATCTATCAACACACTGTATATCTACTGCCACTCTGTATATCTATCACCATTCTGTATATCTATCACCACTTCGTTTATATATCACCATTCTGTATATCTATCACCATTTTGTATATCTATCACCACTCTGTATATAAATCACCACTCTGTATATCTACCACCACTCTGCATATCTATATCCACTCTGTATATCTATCACCACTTTGTATATCTATCACCACTCTGTATATCTACCATCCCTCTTTATATCTACCACAACTCTGTATATCTACCACCACTATGCATATATCTCACCACGTTATATACCTCCACTCTGTATATCACCACTCTGTATATCTACCACTACTCTACATATCTATCACCATTCTGTATATCTACCACCACTCTGTATATCTTTCAACACTCTGTATATCTACCACCACTCTGTATATCTACCACCACTCTGCATATCTATCACCAATTTATATATATATATCACCATTTTGTATATCTATCACCACTCTGTATATATATCACCAATCTGCATATCTATCTTCACTCTGTATTTCTAGCACCACTTTGTATATCTTTAAAAACTCTGTATATCTACCACCACTCTGTATATCTATCACCACTTTGTAAATCTATCCTCACTTTGTATATCTACCACCACTCTGTATATCTGTCCCCACCCTGTATATCTACCAGCATTCTGTATATCTATCACCAGTCTGTATATTTATCACCACTTAGTATATCTATCACCACTATGTATATCTATCACCACTCTGTATACATATCACCAATCTGCATATCTATCTTCACTCTGTATATCTAGCACCACTTTGTATATCTATAAAAACTCTGTATATCTACCACAACTCTGTATATCTATCAACACTC